CCAGTTCAGCAAGAGGCCGTGGGAGGGCAGCAGGGGATATTCTTGGCCTCAGTACACAAAAAGCAAGCATTCCCTATGCAAGATGGGAGAACTGAGGCTATCACATCAAAGTTTTTAGTTCTTCTATGGAGCTAGTAATGTATATAGCTAGAAGTTACCACTGGAGTGTCCAGATATGTATTTCATTGCTCATGAGGACTGGGTAGGCTTTTTGAATCTAGATCCAAGAGACTGGTATAACTGGTTCTAGATATAAAATTACTGGTTGATATTAATAAGGCCAAGGATTGTTCCTTGGGCATAGAAAACTGTAGTATATGTTATTAAAAGATAAATATCTCAGTGTAATAAACAGCATAAGAAAAATATTTCTGGAGAAACATTTCAAATTAAAAAATCTATGGCAAGCAATGAATTCTGTTACTGAAACCCTCAGAGAAGACAGCCTGTTGCACAGTGGTTAGATTTTTATTTAATGGGTTCTTATCGTCATCTAGCTCAAATAGAAACATCTGATTATTGCTGCCACCTGTCCCTACAAGGGTATTCTCATTTCCTGGTAAACCTGTGTTTGTGCCCTCTGTCCCAGTCAAACATGTCTCTGGCTACTTTCCCAACAAGGTGATTTCCTTCTAGTTTAGCTGAGCCCTGTGGTTATAGAACACCCTGTTTGCACAGTGTGGCCAACTCCCCTCAAAGGGAGTCTCCGGGTAATTCCTCTCCAGAGAAATGAACTGAACCATGATCTTGTCTAACCTGTACCTTTGATCATTATTTTAATTATTCTTCAAACCAGGCATGCCATTATTTCAGTGTTTTTTTTTAATGACAACTTCATATTTATATTACTCTATGCCTGGGAGGCATATGAGACTTTTCCTGGTGCTGAGTGTAGCAAACTAGCATGACACGAGCGAGCTTGGGATACACAGTTCTCTGGGACGGGAGATGTAGTGGCTCTCGAGAAAGATTAGGAGCAATGACTCCCACAAGGGCTTCTTCCTTTTACCAAAGCCTAAACTTAGCATAGACTTTCTCCTCCAAGGCAAAAGGAAAACAATGGCAAGCAACAATGGCTTGAAAAGAAAGGAAAAAAAGATGTGAGCTCAAAAAACTAGACTTTCCCCCCCCCCAACCCAAATTCTTTGTTGCACTCAAGAGGGGTAACAGAAATGGCCCTGCATGGGAGGGAGCCCTGCCTGACCAAGACTTTGTTCAGGTTAGAGGAAAAACAGTCATGTCCAAGCTTCTGCTTTGGAGATCATAGATCTGAGATCATAGACCTTTATTTAGCAGAGCTACTTAGTGAATTTGGGGCTGGCAATGGAGGCAAAAATTGCTCAACATAGGAGAGTAACAAGTTTAGAGGGTAGAGGCCAGCATTTGGGGGTGGGAGTGAGGGTATGACCAAGAAGATGGTAACAAACCAGGGCCTGAAAGAGAGGCTACTACCTTGAAATCCTCCCCAGTCCTGCCTCTGGGGGGATAGCTGGTAAATTGTCAGAACAGTGTTGCCTAGATTTCTGATTTAATCTATCACATATCCTGTGCTATGTTGTAATTCTCTTATGTTATTCCAAACCATCAGGAAAATTCTGCTAGATTCAACAGCCTTGTGTTCATGGTATTAGAAGGAGGGGCTGCTGGTATCCAACTGGAGCAAAAAGGACCAAGAAGAGAGAAAGTCATCAATAGAAACTGTGAGTAATGGTTTGGACAGACAGATCAAGAAAATGCCATCTCCGGAAAAATCAACAGGGATATTGGCTGGAGGGAGTGGAGGGCAATTTCCCATAGTAAGTAGGTTGAGGGTTCCACTATCTTATTTACATATTAAAGATCGGTTCCAGAAAGCTGTAAGATTTGAGGACGTCTGGCTTCTATAGATGCAGGCTGGCATCAAAAAAATTAAAATATGTATTATTTGCCAGTCCCATGGTTCCCAACTTTTTATGTTTCAGATTACTAACATTTTAATGAAAATTCTAGGGACTGCTTGGGGTTGTTAACTTTGTTGTATTACGCAAAGATTTAAAATCTAATTATCACCATTGTTTCATAAAATGAAGGACATTTTGACATACATACAGGCACAATTGGCACAGTAGAGAGGGCATAATAGAATAATTTTTAAAAATTTTGTTTTCCAAAAAAAAAAAATTTTTTTTTTTT